CCCACGGCGGCCCCGAGGATGGCGGGAACCATGATTTTGGAGAGATCCAGGCCGGAAAAGCCGAAATCGTTCCCAGCTCTGGCTGGCGCCCCTGGGACCCACGGCGGCCCCGAGGATGGCGGGAACCATGATTTTGGAGAGATCCAGGCCGGAAAAGCCCGAAATCGTGGTTCCCAGCTCTGGCTGGCGCCCCGGGACCCACGGCGGCCCCGAGGATGGCGGGAACCACGATGTTGGAGAGGATCCAGGCCGGAAAAGCCGAAATCGTGGTTCCCAGCTTGGCTGGCGCCCTGGGACCCACGGCGGCCCCGAGGATGGCGGGAACCACGATTTTGGAGAGATCCAGGCCGGAAAAGCCCGAAATGGTTCCCAGCTCTGGCTGGCGCCCCTGGGGCCCACGGCGGCCCCGAGGATGGCGGGAACCACGATTTTGGAGAGATCCAGGCCGGAAAAGCCCGAAATCGTGGTTCCCAGCTCTGGCTGGCGCCCCTGGGACCCACGGCGGCCCCGAGGATGGCGGGAACCACGATTTTGGAGAGATCCAGGCCGAAAAGCCCGAAATCGTGGTTCCCAGCTCTGGCTGGCGCCCTGGGACCCACGGCGGCCGGGAACCACGATTTTGGAGAGATCCAGGCCGGAAAAGCCCGAAATCGTGGTTCCCAGCTCTGGCTGGCGCCTCTGCTGCTCTCTGCTGCTCTCTGCTGTTCTCTGCTGTTCTCTGCTGTTCTCTGCTGTTCTCTGCTGTTCTCTGCTGTTCTCTGCTTCTCTGCTGTTCTCTGCTGTTCTCTGCTGTTCTCTGCTGTTCTCTGCTGTTCTCTGCTGTTCTCTGCAGTTCTCTGCTGTTCTCTGCTGTTCTCTGCTGTTCTCTGCTGCTCTCTGCTGCTCTCTGCTGCTCTGGATTGGTTTTCGCTCGGTTGGTTTTCGCTTGAACGGAAAACCTTTTCGCTCGAACGAGCGTCTTTTCGCTTGAACGATCCACCCTCGCAGGCTGCCTGACTGCGCCGCCAAGCTGCAGCTGGCTAGGGGGGGGGGGCCCACGGCGCGCCCGGCCCTGGTCGAGAGGGGCAAGAGGAGCCACTATGCGCGCGCCGCGCCACTGGGGCACGCGAAGGGAAAGCGGCGCCTCAAAAGAAAGTGGCTGCGGCAGCGGGGTGGCGGCGGTGCCGAGATGCCATGGTCGCTCGCGCTCTGCAGTGGCGCCCGGGGCGTTCGCATAGCGCTCCGCCCCGCCCCCTGGCGCCACTTTTCCCTGGCGGCGCGCGGCGCGCAGCATCGTCGACAAGGCGCGCCCTGCGGCGCGGCAGTGTGGCGGGCGATGCAAGGCGGAGGCCGGCGCGCGAGCTGCAGGCCGCCTGACTGCACCGCCAAGCTGCCGCAGGCCGGGGGGGGCCCTACGGCGCGCCGAGCCCCTGGTCGAAAGGGGCAAGAGAAGCCACTCTGCGCGCGCCGCGCCACTGGAGCAGGTGAACGGTGAGCGGCGCTTGCAAAGAAAATGGTTTCGGCGGCGTGCCTGTGGTGGTGCCAGTTTGCCGCAGTTACTCACGCTCTGCAGAACCCCCCAGGGCGTTTGCGTGGTGCTCCGCCCCCGCTCCCCAGTGCCACTTTTTCCTGGCGGCGCGCGGCAAGCGATATCATCGACAAGGCACGCCCGCGACTCGGCAGCGTGGCGGGCGGTGCATGGCAGAGGCCGGCAGACGGGCTGCAGGCCGCCTGACTGCACGGGTGAATGGCAAGCGGCGCCTCCAGAAATCCCCGTCTACGAAATGACGTCGGGCTACGCCCCATCTCTCCTGAGAAGCCCGCTCTGCATCGGGGGCGCTGCAAAGTCTCATCGGGCACTGTCATCTCCATCAAGATCGGCAACCCTTCCACCGCGTAGACGCGGGCCGTGGCTTGCGATCGCCAGCGCGCCGCTTCCATCGACGCTGGGTTGTCGCGGCTCCTCCGGAAATGGTCCGCGGCACCGCTGGGGCGCGCGCTGCGCCAGTGGAAGGCTGAATTCGACCCCGGGGCCGCAACTGCCCGATGAAACCACGCGCGGCGCGCGCTCGGACGCGCGTCGGAGAGATGCTCTGCAAGCGCGCGACGCTGGATGCACGCGTGCAATGACATGACAACGCAAGGGCCCACATGGGGTAGCAGTTCTGAACAAGCACTACGTACACCATCGTCATTATCTGCGGGGATGAACCCAAACCCATGAAGATACATCTGCAGCAACGAACCGGGAATTGCAATTGAAACGGGTTTATTTCCATGGGCCCCGCGAGGGCGTCGACTCCTAGCAGAGCGAAGATGCCCGCGCAGCGCCATTGATGGGACAAAACAGAACTTCGCAAGAGCAGAGCCCGCGGCCGGGGCATCGGCGGCGCTCTCGCAGGCAACTCCGATCGCTGCCAAGCCGCGAGGCGCCTCCATGAGCCCCAGGGATGCCCTCGAGACTGAAGGAAAACATGGAGAAGACCAGCAAGGGCGCCTGCTGCAGCTGCTGCGCGCGCCCCCATGTTTCCCAGAGCTCCTCGATGGAGTCTGACAGAAGCTTGTCTTCAGCGCTGGGTGTAGACGGCCGCTGGCTCCACGTCGTGGCAAGGGCAGGGGGTTGCCGAACTGCATCCTGGCAACGATGCAAGGTGGCCGGCTGCGCGGCGAGATAGCGAAGCCTGCCGAGGGAGCGGCGCTGCGCTGCCCATCCGCCGAGGGCGGCCATGTCAACGACTGCGCGTCCGCGGCGGCGCGGTTGGCTCAGGGGCGCTTCACATGGGCCCGTGCCCACCGATTCGGTCCGTCGCTGGGCTGCCTCCGCTCGGGGCTCAAGCATAGAGCGCCCGGAAAATAGCAGAGCCACGGATGGCCGCGATTCGGATGAGGACTTGGTTCATGATTGAAGAGGAGGAGGAACGCCCTTTGGCGAGGGCACCGATCGCCACCTGGCTGCCCAGGAGGAGGAGTTCCCGCCCCCCCCCCCCCCCCCCCCCCCCCCCCCCCCCCCCCGTGTGCTTACGACCGTAGGAAGCCCAAAACTGCAGCGGCCCCGAGCACTTTGACGCGCCGCTGGTTCCTGACATAGATTTTAAGACAAGGCCACGCAACACGCCCGCAGGCCTGCACCCAGAAGGGCACGGGGCCACGCAGCAATATGATAAGGAAGACGCAAATCCAGGCGAACGTTGGAACCTCGGTGGTCCGCGAACCAGGGAAATTCCTGAACTATAAACTGCATAGGGGGTCCGAGCCTGGCGTCGGTGGCCGAAGACGTAGGAGCTGCAGGTGGGATGGTGGCAGGTACTCCATGAGGCTGGGTTGAGTTCGTTCCGATTTCTGCTGCGCCTCCGAATCCACACCTCGCCGCGCGGCCCAGATGTCGTTGAAGGAGCCGCGCGCCTCACCTCAGGCATGCAACATTTTCCCGGCGGGGCCGGGGCCTCGGCCCCCAAGGCGAAACCCACGAGGGGCCGCGCGAGCAGCGCTTGAGGAAGCACCGCGCTGACGAGGTCACCCTTGATGTCCTCCACCGAGGCTTTCTGGCCCGAGCGATCGGCCGGGCAGAGGTGCCCCCAGCGGAAGCCAAGTGCGAGGTGCCCCCCAGCGGAAGCCGGTTGTTCGTCTCCTCGGAGACGTCGCGGCCCATGGCGATCAAGCACCAAATTCTTGTCTACGTAATGGGCTGGGCGGAGCCGTCGTGGATCGCGGGCCCAGCGCCGATGCGCCCTCGGCTCCGCGCCTGCGAGGCCCGCGCTGCCACCTGGAACGGCCGCCTCCCTACCGCTCTTCGAGCCGACGCACGTGGAATCAAACCCTTCGACAAGTCGCGCGCCCTGCGCCCAAGCGAAGAGGCCGCCCGCGCAGCGCAGCGCGCCAACGGTGTCAACGTATCGGACGGCGCCCGATGCGCCTGCTGATGCTCTACTCCCTCTGGAATGCCACGGGCGCCGCTCGCGCGAAAAGGGCGGGGGCGCTCCGCGGGGCGAGCTGCCTTGCCAGCTCCAAAACCTGAAAGAGCTGCTCCGAGCTTAGAGCGCCGTCCACGCGAGCCCAGCACGACCCGCCCGCGTAGAGGACTTGCCGTGCCTCGGGGTGCCAGCCCCCCGCTCCGCCGCCTCTCAGGACGGGGAGTTGGCCGCGTCCGCGCGCGGGAATGCCCGCGGCCAAGTGGTCTCGATGATCCCCCGCGCCGCGCGGGACGGCGCGACGGCGATGGCGCCGCAAAGAGCGACGCCCATCAGATCCGCGGCCATCGTGGCCCCGCCAGTGCCCTCAGACGCGGCGGCGATGAGGAGGTTCGACGCGTTGGCCGGCGCCTTGGCGCGCAACGCCCCGAGGCGCGCGACGCCAGTGGGAGGGGGGCCCGCGGCCGCGCAGGCACCCCGCCCGATTCAGAGGCGCCCGTCGCGATAACTTCCTCGTCGCCACCCTTCTTCGCCAGAGCTTTGCTGAAGCCGATGCGCGACGCGACACTTCTCTCACCGAGCAAGCGTGCTGCTAAGCTCGACCACACCTCACTTTAGACCTCTGTGGGCGGGTGGGTGGGACCAGAAAAAAAGCTATGGGCTATTGAGATGGGAATGCGCGGCGAATCAGAAACGAAAAAACGTAGGCAACGGAATATCGTCACCCTTTTTCGCCAGAGCTTTGCTGAAGCCGATGCACGACGCGGCGCTTCCCTCGCCGAGCAAGCGCGCTGCTAAGCTCGACCAGTACACATAATATCCCACCTTCAGCACTGAGCTGGCGCCTCAAGGCGCCGTCGCTTCATTATTGCCGAGAGATTGATGGCCCAACCTTTCTTCCTAGAGCTGCAAAACACACTGGCCAGGATGCGGCACAACTGCGGAAGGCACTCGTTCTTCTGAGCAGTTCGGAAGGGGGAGTCACCGCGGGCCTTGCCAGAGAGCTGGATGCGCGGCCGGCCAGAAAAAACTGCAAATCCCCCGCCCCGAGCATTTGGCCTCAAGAAGAGGGCGGGGGGCAGGGGGGAGCCAGAGGCGCAGGCGGGCACGGGCTCAGAAGTCTCTACCGAAGGCGCAGTAGTCGATGACGGTATCGAACACTCCTAGCTGGGCGAGGAAGCGCCCCCTCGAGCGCAGCGCCCAGGGGAAGGACTGGGCAGGGTTCTCCTCGCCGCCGGGGATCTTGCGCTCCAGCGCCGGGCGGGCCAGCTGCCCAGCACGGTCGGCCAGGGCGCTGCCATCGGCAAGCTTGGCAGCGTCCCGCGGCGGGAGCCCCGAGAGGCCGCGGGGCTGCTGTGGCGACCGCAGGGCCGCGGGCATCCGCGAGCCCGCTGGCGCCCGCCTGGCGCCGGAGAAGCCGCTGCAAGGAGTCCCCAGCCAGAGCCTCCACGCGAGGCCAGAGAGGATCCAGCCGTTGACGACGCTGACAACTTTTTGCGCTCTGAGGTCGCGACGCGGCCCGCGTCGCACGTCGATGCCCATGACAGCGGCGCCGCGTCTGCGGAGGGCCTGGCCCAGGTGACCAGCGCCAGCGAACACCTCCAAAAAGACCTTGCCCTCGCGGGGGCGGGCCTTTCCCAGGGCCGCCCGAAGCTCGTTCCGCAGGCGCTTGGCCAGCGCACCTCGAGGGAGTGGAGGTCGAGCAGCACGCGCGGGTGGAGCCTCTCGAGCTGCTTGCTGATCCTGGCGTGCATCTCGCGGCGCTGGGTGCTGGGAGGCGGGCGCCACTTGCCCCCGAACCTCAGTCCGCGCGCCCTGTCGAGACTGGCTCCGCCGTGACGGGGCCCGGGGGGCGTTGGGCACAGCGCCCCGCGGCCCGCGGCCACTGCGGCCCTCTTCTGCTCTGCCAAGAGCTCGCCGTACACGATCGGGAACAGGCGCTGAGGCGTGGCCCGCTGCTCTGTCCGCTCGAGCAGAGCGCGGCCGCCCCGCCGGTGCTCGGGGAGGCCCAGGGCCGCGTGGGAGTTCCCGAGGTTGGTCCTGGAGGGCGCCCCGAGGTCGTCCGAGCGGAGCACGAAAATGACCTGGCCCAAGACCCCGGGCATCCCAGCGATCGGCCCGATGACCTGCCTCCCGAGCAGCGCGAGGCCCGCGCCCGGCAGGCGGCAGGTGACGCATAGCAGGACGATGAGGTGGCCCATCAGCAGCTTGCTGGGGGCGAAGAGCGACCCGGCAAGGCCTGCGGACACCAGCCGAGGGATCGGCGGCCGAGACTGGGGCGGTCGCAAGCGGGCCCACCCTGCTGCAGCCTGGTAGGCCAGCGGGGGCGTGGACCGCACGGCGTGGGGGCCGCCGCCGCGGTCGAGGCGCACCGACAGGGAGTCGCTCTGGCGCTTGCCCCACGTGCTGGCCGTCCCCTCGGGCCGCGGCAGGGCTGCAGGCCAGTCGGCGAGCTCCTTCATCGCCCGCGTGTACTGCGCCTGCGAGGGGAGCCGCCCCCGTCGCTCTGCGCCAGCCCTGACACCCGCGGCGCCAGCCACTTGATGTCCGCCTCGGCGGCGGGCCCGGGCGAGGGCGCGGGAGGCGAGCGCGGAGGGCATTGCGCCCCAGGGCCGCGCGTCGGCCGCCCGGGCAGCGGCGGCAGGCGTGAGCGCGCCTCCAACCCAGCGCCCTCGGCGCGGTCCAGCCCGGAAGCTCACTCGGCGTTGCGGGTCCACTGGAGCTGCGCCTCTGGCGATCGACTCGTCTGCCGGCGGGCCGCGCGCGGCGGGGCCTCTGCGGGGCCCAGGCCGTCCTCCACGGCAGCCCGCGGGCGCGGGCCGCGCGCCCGGCATCCGAAGCCCTCGTCTCGAAGAGGAGTCGCTAGGGTTCAGCTCCGAAGGACGCCGGCGGAAGGAGGGGCGGATGCTGGCGGCAATGTGATTGGCGGCCCACCCGCGGCAGGCAGCGATGAGCGATAATACAGAAGCCCCCCCCTTGCAAGCAGCACGCGTGACCGACGCGTTGTCCCCAACGTAGAGAGCGTGACCGCGATGGCGACGGAGGGGGCGAGCTGTGCGTCGGACGCACCAGGCGAGCGCCGCCGCCTCCAGCTTGCGAAGTGAATCTGGCCGGCGGAAGGCGCGGGAGGCAACTGTGGCCCACCCTTCGCCTAGTAGCAGCTCGCGCGGCACCTCCTGGAAGCGGGCGTGTCCCCCGAGAAGAAGGGCCGCAGCGTCGGGCAGCCTCAAAAGCTCCTCCTCATCATGCAAAGCGTGCTCACGGCGGCTGCCCCCCGCGGTGGCGAGCAGGCCGCGGACGCGAGCGCGCTCTCGCAGTCGCCCCGCGCGGCCCACGTCAGCGCTGCCCCACAGGCTCTCGGCGACACCCAGCCCCCACTCGGAGGCGTCGTAGGCGGTGACCACCGGCAGCCACTGCAGGTCGGAGCGGGCCACGATGGTGGGCAGCAGGGCATGCGCCCAGCTCAGCTCGCGCTGCGCGCTGGGCCACAGGGGCGCCCGGCGGCGCCCCAGCTTCCTGCTGAACTGGTAAACCGCGGAGAGGACGGAGAGCAGGTCGCGGCGCAGCGTCATCATGGAGACGAGGTGCCCGATGAGGCGCTCCAGCTCCAGGCCCGACGGGGTAGCCCCCGCCTGCGGGACGTGCTCGAGGGCCTTGGCCACTCGCCGAAACATCTTGGGCGTGGGCCGCCAAAGCTGCTAGTGCGCCGCGTATTCGAAGCCCAGCAACTCCAGCGATCCTGAACTCGGGTCGGGAATGTCCAGGTGGGCCTTCGCGCCCACGCCCTCGAGCGTCGTAGGCATGTGGGCGATCCCGTTCATGGCCTCGCACTCCTCGTCGGAGGCCACGGACAGGTTGTCGATGTAGCAGTGCTTGGAGGGGCCCTCGCACGCGGGCGCCGCCGGCACCTTGTCCCTCACCCACGGAGCCGAGGGCGCACGCGAGGACAGCAGGTACTCGTGAGCTCTCTGAATAAAGTGCACCGCCCACGACCAGCCCATTGGCACGACTCGCGCCTGGAAGGCGCACTCGACGTCTGCGAGCCCCAGCCTCTTGCGCCACCTGGCGGGCAGGTGGCGCGCCAAAATCGGCGGGGGCACGAGGGGGGGCCGACGGCTGGCGGGCAGCTCGCACTGGTAGAAGCAGACCTCGATATCGGCGGACGCCACCCATAGTCGTACTCCAGGCTCGCTCTCGAGGTCCGCCAGCGACTCACCGCTGGCCAGCTAAGTGCACGGAGGAGGGGCAAAGTGGCAATTGCTGCGTCGCGTGTCAAAGATCAGCCTCAGCAAGCCACCCTTGCGCTTGACGAAGAAGGCCCCCGAGGTCTCCTTGACAACGGTGGCCTTCTCCAGGATGCCCTTGTCCAGGAGCTCCGCCGGGAAGCGCCCGCGCATGAAGCCTCTCAGCCTCAGCGCGGGGTCCAAGGCCATGGCGGGCCCGAGCTCGCGCAGCGCCGCCTGCACCTCCGCGGGGTCGCGGAGAAGGCCGCTGCCCTCTGCCAGCGTGCACTGCAAGTCGTTTGGGGCCACGTCGCACAGCGGCGCAGCCCCAGCGCGTGACTGCGGCAGGGAGATCCTGCCAGGCTGGTAGGTTGCATCAAAACTGTCGGCCACGCCCGAGTCGACGTCAGCTGGCGGAGGTCCGCGCCCACCATAGAGCTTGGCCAAGGAGCGCACCGCAGAGGCCTGGGCGGCGGTCGCTCGGGCAATGCCGGGCGCACTGCCGCCGCCGCCAAGCTCGCTCAGCGCGCCCAGGCCCGCGCGTAGCCGAGCCTCCTCGCCCCGGCGCCGCCTGGCCTTCCGCTCGCCCGCTGCGGAGAGCCCGCCGCCCGCCGCGCCGAGGAGCAGCTCGTCGAGGGCCCGCCCGCCCGGGAAGGGCAGCAGGCCGCGAGGGCGGCCATCAGGGGGCTGAGGACCAAACGCCATGCCCGAGCCGACCACCGCTGGCTGCGGGCGCAACAGCGCCGGCGACGTCTCCCGGAGAGGCCCGCGGGCGAAATGTGCTTCAGGAGCGGTATCACTGGCCGCGGCCGCGCGCCCTCGCGCGCGCGACGCTGCCGCGGGCCTTGCCCTGCTGCTGCTGGGCCTGACTGCCTGCTGTGGCCCCATGCGCGAGCCGCTTCTCCTCCCCCCCCTTGACCTTTTCCGTGAGGATGGCGCTCTCTGGTGCGTAGAGCGCCTCCGAGAGCTGGTAGCGCCACGAGAGGACCACGAACGCCTCCAGCTCGGTGCAGTTGGGCTGATCGAAGACGCAGGCCCTCTCCAGCACCTCTGTGATGTAGGCGTGCTCCTCAACGCCAGCGTCGCCGTGCGAGACCTGCGGCAGGTTGCGCCCCCCGACCTGGCGCCGTGTGGGAGTCCAGCCTGCGTCGCGGATGCCGTGGAGGATCCACTTGCACGTCCGAGGGCCCGCGACAGCCCAGCCAGCCTGCACGGTCTCCGAGAGGCAGACCACCGCGCCGCCGCACCCACCGAAGCGGGGGTTGCTCCTGTCGAAGCGCACGGGAGGGGTGCCCAGGTCGCCCTCGCCAGCTCCAGCTGAGAGAGACCCCGCCATGACCACGAAGAGGGCCCACACGTTGGGCACCGTGAGCGCACCGCGATCCCCTGAGGCCAGCGACTGGCAGACCGCGAGGTCGTCCGCCTGGCCGTGGGTGAAGCCGTGGCAGGACTCGGTGGCCACCCAGGCCTGACCAGCGAGAGCCTGTGGGAGGGTTGCCGCGGCGCGGCCTGGCGCGATGGGGGCGGGCGCCGCGCCAAGGCCAGCGCCGCCACAAGGAGGATGCACATGCTGCGCCACGAGGACCTGGCCAACGGCGGCCTCGATGTCGTGGGAACCCTCGATGTCGCGGACGTGGTCCTCACGGGCCTCGAGCAGCTCGCGCTTCTCCTGGGTCGTGAGGTAGGCGAACCGGAAGACCTCGACGTTCGCCGCGCCCGCCTGGAGGCAGCCCAGCGGGCCCACGCGAGGAGACCCGTCGCTCTCCATGAGGTCCTCATCGTGGTCGGAGCCGCTAGGCGTCGCCCCCACCCAGGGTGATGGCCCCGAGCGGACGCCCCGCAGCTGCCCGTGCCACAGTGAGTACGCCTCGAGCCGCACCAGGACCAGACCCCACCACTGGAGTTGTGAAAACCACTCTGGCCGCGCTGCGCTTGGGCGCCAGCCATCCCGCATGTCGAGAGCAGATCACGAGGACCGAACCGAAGACGACGCCCGCGAAGAAGAGCCCCACGCCAATGAGGGCCAAAGTGGCCACCGGCGGGGGCGGCAGGGCGCGGCACACCTGCCCGTGGAGCTGCTCTGGGCCACAGCGGTCCAGTTGCCGCTGCAGCAACTGGAGGAGGCCCTGGTCCGGGGCGGCGGCCACCTCGCAGTGGCAGTCACAGCGCCCGCCCGCGGCCAGCCCGCCTATAGCGCCGGCGACGACCGAACTGGTGACGGAAGAGGTGCCCTGAAGCAAGCTGGTCAGCCAGGCCATACACTCTGGGCCAGGCCTGGACCAGAAAAAGGGCTATTGAGATGGGAGTACACGGAGAATCAGAAACGAAAAACGTAGGCAACGGAATAAAGATTTGCGCCGCGAGGTCTGTTCAGAGCAACGGCGAAGCGATCCTCGCGGAAAGGAGCTCGTCGGCCGCGTCGCTGCTCAGGGGGGCCGGCGGCCGCCCAATCGAGGGTTCGCGAAACAGGCGGTTGAGAAATGAAAAGTGCCCGGGGCCAACAATCAAGGCGAAGCCGATGCGGTCCAAATGCGACAAAAGGTCCTCGTCATCGATGCGTTCGGCTGCCAAGTGGCCCATGGCGTGGGAGACACGCACCGGTCGGCGCCGCGCACCTGAGCTCGCCAAGTCTCCAAATTGAAAACCCCTCGGCGGACTTCTTCAGAGCACGCCACGCGCCCGCTGCAGCGCGCGCTGCCCTGTCGCTCATCGGCTCCCCGCTCGGCTTGAAAACGCACTGTTCCGTCTCCGTCTCAAGGGCGACCTTACCCTGGCCCCATCTGCCGACGTAGATGGAGAACCAATTCCACGGCGCCCTGGTGCCGGCAGGAGCCGGGCGCGGGTCCCGTCCGCAGCAGGTCCCGAGGGATGCTAGCCCCATGGTATGCGGAAGCTGCCTGGTTATCAGGTTTGCATGCGCCTCCTGGGTAAAGTCAAACGCGCTGACCCAACCCATGGGGCACGTCCGCATGCGCGGCCGGGCCCGCGCGCTATCGGGAAACCCGAAGGCGGGCCCAGGGGTGGCCTCCTCGATGACGAAAGAGCCACGCCACGCCCGAGGCACTCGATAGAGGTGGAAGCAGCCGCTCTGGTCTTCGGAGTAGTGCACCTGGAACTCGTCGGGAAGCAGGTCCAGCAACGGGCGCGAACCTGGATGTCCCATGAGCTTGGACGCGCCGCCGTAGCGCCGCTGAAGGGCGCCCGTGGGGACCGCGTTCAAGATGGGGCGCATGGCGCGGCGCCGTTGGCGCCCGACATCGTCCCATGCCTCATGCGCTCCGAAAAGGCCGTTCCGCGCAGGGCGGCCGCGGAACTTTCTCGCGGGATCTCCGCCCCCCTGATGCCCAGCTCGTGCAACGACTCCACGATCTGGTAGTGCTCGCCCTCGGACGCCGCCAGCACGCTGGCCTTCGGCAGTGGCCCCATGACTCGCCCTCAGGGGGCCTCAGAATGCTGGTGTCCAGGATGGCTGCGCGAGCAGGCCCGTCGAGGAAGCCCGCCAATTCCACCTGCGAAGCGACCTGCGCAACAGGAGGGGCAGGAAGGGCGCCGGCATGTGTGTGCGGCAATGCGTGGACGAACTGTTCGCCCCAATGCTGCTCGGATGCCCCGCGCGACGCCACCTCGGAAGGGATGAGGTTCACGTGGTCCCCCTTGTTGGCCCAGATGGTTGCAAACCGCCTGAAGCGCAAGAGGGCCTGTTGCTGCGCCGCGGGTTCGGCGGTGAACTTACGGGGCCTCGCAAGAAGCCGCGGTCAACCCAAAAAGCCGTAGTTCGTGACGAGGGTTGCAAGTTCCACCCACGCCGCGGCGCACCGCTGGGAGGCAACCAGGGGTCGTGCTGCCAGACCGGGGCGCCTGCAAATCCTCCAACGCCGTTCGGAAGACCGCGGAACGCTCTGGCCGAGCGACTGGCGGCAGCTCCAGGGCCAACCAAATCTTGCCACGCGCCGCATGGCCACAACTGGCTCAGCTCCCCCAGAGCGCGGAGGTGGTGCCCTATGAGGACGATGCCCCGCCGGAAAGCTGCTCCGCCAGATGCTTCTGGGTGCACCCCGAAGATGACCGTCACGAGGTCAACCCGCACCACGTTGGGCAGCGGAACCCCGCCCAGCAGGTCCTCCATGGCGGACCCGCGCAGGTGCCCCCCCATGCGTCGCAAGGCCTGGTGCGAGAGCACGCCCGGGAAGCGCGCCGCGATGGTGCGCGTCGTCGGACGACCGCGGTCGCCGCTCTGGCGACCGTCCGCCACCGCGTTCCTGGTGCCCCAGAATACTGCGTCCGCGTCCCCACCGAGGATGCGCGCGACGAGCTCCGTGCGGAGGTGCTCGGAAAGTGCGGCGGCAAGTGCCTCTGGCCCGGCAGCCTGGCCCGCAGCCGCGCCTCGATGGCGATCCCGAGCCTCCTGCAAACCGCCGTCGCAAGTCCTCGGCATGGGGCGCCCCTGCCGCCGCTCCCAATGCCAGAAGCAGCGGGTTGGTGGGGGCGCCTCCCCCTCCTGGCGCGCCGCCGGCAACTGCCAGCTTGCCCTCGGCAACCCCGGGCGCAGCAGGCGGCGCTCGCTTGGCGCCTTGGGGGACCACCCCCAGGGCCGCTCGCCTCGCCTGCGGGCCCGGGGACGCCAAGGACACCAGCGAGGTCTCGAAGCTCGTCCGCGAGCCCTCGATCGCCAGCCCCGGCTCTACCCGCATGCGGGGTGGCGCGCGGCCTCCCAGCGGGCTACTGGCGAACGACCGCTGCCCGCGAAACCACTCGCGGAGCGGCCGCGGGCCGCCGCCGAACATCGCGGCCCTTCGGCGGCATGTCCCAAATCCTGGAAAAGGGTACCAAAATGCGCGTGCATCCCTTTCATGCCAAGATGCAAGAGCCAATCACGCTCCGCACTCGCACCGGGGGCGTTTGCATATTTAAGCTGGGCTTTCATCGCATTGGTTTGATCCGCCACCACCCGAGAGCGCGCTTCCCACTGAGAAGGCTGGCAGGCAGCGTAGCATCATGTGAACGCAGGGTGTGGGACAGAAGACGAGGAGCGGGGGCGCGTCGGGGGGAGGAGGAGAGAGAGGGGGGAATGAAGAGAGAGGGGGAGGGGCCATGAAGGGCGCGGGAAGGGAAAGGGGAACGAAGGAGAGGAAACGGAGGGAGAGAGGAGGGCGGACGGGGGCGTGTGGCAGGAGGGGGGAGGAGGGCAGGGCAGCGGCGGCAGGCCAGCTCGCCCCTGGCTGGCCAATGCGGCTCCTTGTCCCTGTCGCGGTCACGGTCTTTTTCCTTGTCTTTGCCCTTCTCCTTGTCCTTCTTGCGCGAGCGCGAGCGGCTATCCGATTCCTTGTCCTTATCCTTGCCCTTGTCTTTCTTCTTCTTACGCGAGCGCGATCGGCTGCGCCTGGTCAGAGCTGCGAGCGGCCTGCAAGGCCTCAGCAACTCTGCCCCCCAAATCCGAGATGTGGGCCCACAGGCTGAACCAAATCGCCGATGAGCCACCCAAAAACCACTGGACAAGGCAGAAGGGGCAGAAACACTGTCTTACTGACCAGCCAAACGGCGCATGTGACCCGGAAGCGTCGGGCAACGCGATCCCGATAAATACTCGTTCGATATCCATGAGAGAGCCCCCGGTACTGTTTATGTGCAAGTTCCCACGTGTTTGGATAGGGGGGCGGCAAAGGAGCAAGAGCAGAAGAGAGGAGGTCACAAATCCGCCGATCTGGTGTATGAGTCTAAGAGAACGTCAGCCTGAGCTCGCTGTAGCTTCGCTCTGGGAGGGGGGGTCCGTTTTCGGGTGAGGGGGCTTGGTTTCGCTGTGTAGGGGGAGGGGGGGCTGTTCCGTTTTCGACCGGGAAGACTCGATACGCTTTGGAAGGGAGGGGGGGGGAGGGGTTGTTCCGCTTTCGGGGGGCAGGGGCTCGTTTCGCTCTGAAAGGGCGGGGGGGGAGGGGTTGTTCCGTCTTCGGGGCGGGGGGAGTTTGGTTTCGCTGTGGAGATGGAGAGGGGCTTGTTCCGTTTTAGACGGAGAGAAAGCTCTTTTCGCTTTGGGGCGCAGGGAGTTTTGTTGTTCCGTTTTCGGGCATTTTTTGGAGGCCGCGCAACAATGGTAATGGAGGGTTAACAACCGATGACATTCACCAGACCACGGTCGCCAATCGCAGAAAATATGTTCTGCGAGCGTGGCCGAAACTCGGTACGGAAATTCGGGCGGTTGTTCGCATGAGCGAGACGAGGAAAAGAGGAAGAGGAAGGAACGAAAAGTGGAGGACGAAGAACGATCATTGACAGTGTCGCCGCCAACACTTCGACCGTCCCATGCGCCGACTGCTTTAAACACCGGCCCCTTCCCGACGTAAATACAGAATTGGCCATAATTAGAAGGGGGCGCAGCAGGAGGGAGGAGGAGCAGAGAGAGGCGCACGACCCCAATCTGTGCAGCCAGCGGATCAGTTGCGTGCCAACCGAAGGTTACAATCAAGAGGCGATATATACATATATATGTATACAGAGAGAGAGAGAGAGAGAGAGAGAGAGAGAGAGAGAGAGAGAGAGAGAGAGAGAGAGAGAGAGAGAGAGAGAGAGAGAGAGAGAGCGAGAGAGAGAGAGAGAGAGCGAGAGAGAGCGAGAAAGAGGGGGGAAGAACAACAAATTTAAGGGTGAAAGGAAGGGTCTGCAACAGGGGGTCTTCAATGGGGGCTGAATGGCGCATGTATGCTCAATGTATCGCTCACGTATATGATCGGGTACGATTGGCATCCAGCGTTGGCGGCCATGGAGGGCCAATCGTTCGTGCCCGCGCGGGCAAACGCGCCGTCCACCCATTATCGTTCATGCGTGCAGGCGTTCTTGCATATTGCGCGTGGGGCGGCGAAGTAGAGCGCAAGTGTATCTAGACTGTGCGATTGATGATCGCGTATGTTCCCAAACGATGACTTGTCGACCCCCAAGACAGATTTGGAATGGGACCCGCGATTCTCCCAAAATGTGAATTCACATGTTCCTTCTTCCCAAAATTTGAATTCACATTCTGGCCCCTTTTCCATCCAGTTTCTTATACAAAATTCCAACATGTGAATTCACATTGTCCTTTTGTCCAAAATGTGAATTCCGATTTTCCTTTTTCCCAAAAAGTGAATTCACATTTTTCTTTTTCCCCCACAATGTGACTTCGCATTTTGCCCTGGCCTTCAAGATCCCCTAAAATGAGGCGCAGCGCTCCGCATGTCAGATTGGCTGGGTAGGTTTTGACACTCACCTCACCGCTTTTGTCTATTCCAACCTTTTTTGGGGGCCCTCAGCGCACGCTGCCTTCGTCGCCTTTCGCGAGCCCCCGCCCCCTTGCCTCGTTTACCCTCAAATCTCGCGCATGGGTGCAGGCGGGGAGCTTCAATTGGCTCCCCCGCCGAACACAGCAATCGAGGATGCATCGCGCATGCATGGCCCATACAAACACCATTGCCGGGACCCTGCGCCCGACCCCCGCTTTCACCCTCCAAACAAAACATAACAAAACCGGCCGCGGCCTGTTCACAGCACGAGGCTCCGCAAGTCGGAAAACCAACTACAGTACGGGGCGTAGTAGTGCAAGGAGTGCAATACGCACCTACCCCAGTCATTGAGGTTCTTGGTGTGGTTATATGTAGCGCAGGGCCCCATTGCCCCGCAGACGTGCAAACCCCGAGCAGAAGCTAGCACGCGCGGGCTGATACGCGGAAGCCAAAGGAAACGAAAATTATGAACACTCAAGCATCCATCAGGGGGCGACAGAGAAAGAGAGGGAGAGAAAGTAGTCTTTCCTCTGAGAATCGGGATAAGATGACAAAGGGATTAAGGTCTCGAGTTCACTCTGCTCAGTGGTAGAGGGTACGCGATGAAACATCGATAAGACAAGTAACGGGTAAGCAAATGTACTCTATCAGGAATAGTAAGTGAGGAGGCCGACCGGCCGACGACACGAGCGCGACGAGGGGGCGACCCCTCGGCGCGCGCGTGCGAGCCAGCACGCCCCTTTTATCTCCTGTACGCTCACGCGTAGCTTGAGTACAACACATCTGCAGATAGTCACACAGTGCGCAGCAAAGCAAGTGATGTGACAAGCAGCATGAATACGAGGCGGAGCACTCCCCCCGCGGCGGGCCTCGTAGAGCCCATCCGGCCACAGCGCGCCTGGCCTATGCATGTACAACCACCGGAGCGAACCCCAAAAAC